CTCTTTAAACTCTGTTCTAGTTCTAGCCTTCACAGCCTCCTGCAGCAAGGAGTTCCACAGGTTGACTATTTGCTTTGTGAAGAAGAACTTTCGCTTATTAGTTTGAAGCCTGCTACGCATTCATTTCATTTGGTGTCCTCTAGTCCTGCTATTATGGGAACTAATGAAGAACTTTTCTTTATGCACCCTCTCCACACCACTCATGCTTTTATAGACCTCTATCATATCCCCCCCTCAGTCTCCTCTTTTCTAAGCTGAAAAGTCACAGTCTCCTTAGCCTCTCTTCATATGGGACCTGTTCCCAAGCCCTGATCATTTTAGTTGCCCTCCCCTCTCCCACCCTCTCTCTTCCCTTCTCCCACCTCCTTTTCCCGGTCTCCCCGAGTTCTGTTCAATAAAGAGAGTTTCTATTTTTGAACACACGTGTCCTTTATTTTGTACATCGGGAAGGGGGGCTAGGGAGGGGTAAATGGAAGGAGGTGAGGGAGGAATGGGGTACGAGCCCCCGATGGGGAGGACTGGGGTGGCTCTGTAGGCTGCTCGGGATGGAAGATCTCCTGCAGCCCCCCGATTAACCCTCCCCTCGGATGGCAGCCTGCGGCAAGTGCAGCTGGGCTGATGGCCAAGAGCTGTGATGTGCCTAGTGTGGGCACTCAGGGCACTCCAAGCCAGGACTGCTTTGCTGTCCCTCATTGAGTTAGACAAGTGAGCGGGGAACCCCTGAGAACTGTCTGTCTGGGATAGGGGTTGGGTCCCTTTAAGCACAGCCCTCGGCTAGCCTGAGACAGCAGCTCCATGCTCTAAGTCCTAATCTGATGCCCTGCCGGCACTGCTTCCGGCCAGCCTTAACCTCGGTTCAGCGTCCACTCAATGTGGACATGCTAGTTCGAATTAGCAAAATGCTAATTCGAACTAGTTTTTAGGTCTACATTAACTAATTCGAATTAAGTTAGTTCGAATTAGTGCTGTAGTGTAAACATACCCTAACAGAACATGTAGATGGTATCATGAGCTTTCGTGGGCACAGCCCACTTCTTCAGATGACCAGAGTTATGAGTTTGGGATGTGTACACTCGAAATAAATAGGAGAGGAGAATGGGAGAGGAGAGGGAAGAAAAAGAGAAGGGGGGTGGGAGACAGAGCATCAGTAAGTATCTGATATGGGTACTTAAACTGAAGCAGATAAAAATCAAAGTCGATAGATTCCCATGACAGGAAGGATACTACACAGATCGCTGTTAGCACCTTCAATGGTTTTTAAATTGGTAGCGTCCCAACCAACTTTCATCACGATTGAGTCCATTAGCATGTGAACTGAATTTGCGGATGAACTGTAATTCTAATGTTTCCCTGTGGATCTGGCTTGTAGAGCTGGTTTGTGACAAGATAGCCACTTGGAGATCTGTCAGAGTGTGATTTGGAAGGTTGAAATGTTCCCCCATAGATTTCTGTACGTTTCCTTTACGTATATCTGATTTGTGTCGATTGATTCTTTCCCGCAGAGACTGTCCAGTTTCTTCTCTCTGTGTAGTACCCTTCCTGACATGGGAATCTATCTATTGACTTTGATTTTTATCTGCTTTAGCTTAATTACCCATTCTCTAGATACTTACTGATGCTCTGTCTCCCACTCCCTCCCTTTTTATTTCCTCCCCCCTTCCTTCCCCTCTCCTATTTATTTCGAGTGTACACATCCCAAACTCATAACTCTGGTCATCTGAAGAAGTGGGCTGTGCCCACGAAAGCTCATGATACCATCTACATGTTTTGTTAGTCTATAAAGTGCTACCAGACCATTTGGTTTTTTTTCTGTAACAGACTAACTTGGCTACCCCCTGAAGCTTCTACATGAATTAGTTTGGGAAAGCACCACAACCATATTCAAAACAAATCTGACCCCACGATGTGTTGAGCAGTGTCCTTTGGCTTAATTTCTCACCTTACAGGAAGAAAGTCTGATGAGCTAATCATGCATTGCTCCCCTCTTCCCCACTCACAGTTGGCTTTTCTTAATTAGCAGCAAACGAACCCTTAGATGTTGAATCTAGCCAACTCCAACCTAGGAGAATGGTTATACATGTTTTGTCTACTATGCCTGGCAGCAATGTTGTTTAATCCTTTTTTTTTGTCAGAGCTCACAGCATTTTAAATGGCTAACCCTTGTGGAGCCATCGCCACCGCAGCTGCTGGTCCTAGTACCTCCGGTGCCAAGTCCAGGCCATGCTCATCCCCCACCTTCCAGCCTGGCCCACCATATGCAGTGTTACTCTCCATCCCTAAGCTCTCCTGCAGCTGCTGAGCATTCCCAAGGGAGCTGAGTGTACCCAAGAGCAGCCAAAGCCTTCCCAAGCCCTGACCCTGCTAATGGTATGCACCATGTATACTGTGTGTTTGGCTGTGGGCAGCACTGAATGTGGGAATTGTTCTTCCACTAGGATGGAGTTTGGGGGAAGGGGAACAAGTGGATCGAAGAAGGATAATCCTGTGAAACCCAGAACTGCTGGGAGTTATGCGCACGTGCATCGAGGTTTACAGAATCGGTTGGAAAAGGCTTTTCTTGTCGACCGATCCCCATCTAGACTGCCGCTTTTTGCTGGCAAAGTGCTGTGGCGGCAAAAAGCAGCGGCCATTTCTATTCAAATGAAGCGTGGGATATTTAAATCCCCGCTTCATTTGCAATAGCGATGTGCCTAATCTACATCCCTCTGTCAGCAGAGGGGTGTAGTTTAGACACACCCTTAGATGTGAATATGGGTCTGGGATTTAAATATCAGATTTTTAACTTTCAGGGTTGTTCCTCCTCCCCACCTCCATGTTACAATTTACTGCACACCACTCAAACTCTGTTCTGAATACAGAATTATTAATTTCCTCCTTAAGTTTTTCTATGGCACTTATCACTAGTACCTCAGCAGTTCACCAATTTGAATGAATGTAACTTCAATACACACCTTCTAATTATCAACAAATTAGACAGATGCCCTACAGACAACAGCCTCCTTCAGTACACCACCCAGCCCTGAGCAAGTCCATCCAATGGGCTGAAGGAGGCCAGGGTCATGTGGGAAAAAAATAAGATGTGTTCATGTAATTAAATACTGTACCCTAATGCATGCACAAAAGGGGGATTACTAAAAGCTGCACATCCAATCTGAATTCTGGCATTGCTTAACTGGTGAGTTGAAGTAAAACTTCAACTTTAATGCTCTTTTAATGTTTTTTTTAATGAAATTACCTGTTTTTAAAAAGCAGACTGGAAAAACAAACTCATGTGGCATCATAGTGACACTCATGGGTCACCAGCAGGTTGGGATATTTACAGGCACAGCCCAGTTCTCTGCCACTTGAGCTAATGATAACTGATAGCAGTAGTTTTATTATCCCCTGTGGACCAGCCGCTAGAGTGGGCTGAGATACACCCACTGGAAGATTGTAACACAGTGGTTCTCAAACTTCATTGCACCGTGACTGCCTTCTGACAGCAAAAATTATTACATGATCCCATGTGGGGGTGGTAAGGCAGTGCCTGAACCTTGCTGCCTTGGCTGGGGTGGCACAGCTTTGGCTTCAGCCCTGGACTCCCAGCCAGTCTGATGCGAGTCTTGATGACCCCATTAAAATGGGGTCCCAATCTGCAGTTTGGTAGCTGCTGTAAATATAACATATGCATTGGTGACAGCAGAGGAATTGTGAGACTTGGGAATCTGGAGTTCCATTCCAGGCTCTGGACGGCATTCAAATGGGCACAATTTCACAGACCATTTTGTCTCTGGTTTGTGTATTTTGTGCCTTTTCTACCCTTTATAGGTTCCTCAGCTTTCTTTTGTCTCTTTGCTTTAGTAGTCCTACAATCCCTCTCTGGGTTTCCCTTCGTCATCACAATTTACTCCCTCCTTTGCCACGTCCCCATGTCTGCCTCTTGTCCCCTCTGCATTCAGTTCAGAATGCTGCCTCCTCTTTCATGCTACCTGGGCAACAGAAGCGGGATTTACTAGGAGAACAGAAAAGACAATCTTATTGCTCTCAGTTTTGGTTCCAGGAGTCATGGTGTCCGGGAATAGCAATTCAGTAGAAAGTCCTGCTCTATCCCTGCATTCCTGGGCTGGAACATGCTCAGCACAGGCTGAATCTTGGGAGAATTTAGCTGCCAAACTCTACGAAATTTCTGCTGAACATGTGTGAACTGCATCTTTTTTCAAAGGGTTATAACTTGGCTAAATTTGGGTAGATTTTCATGGGAACACCGAAGGAACATCCTTGACAGCAGAGCAATCCATTCCTCTGCCAAACTGCACATTCCGTGTTCTGAATCTTGGCTACACTACAAGCGGCTCTATAAAATGTGTGCGTAAAATGTTTAATCTGGGTTAAACATGTTGTTCTCTAAACTTGTTCTCAAGTAGCTGAGCAATATTTACTGGTATGCCACCCCCAAAACAATCTCCACCAAAAATAAAAGTTGAAAAGGAAAATATCAGCCCAACTGACTAATCTTTGCCAAAGTTAAGAGCATTGGAAAACAGGGTCTTATAATGAAGTGTTGGGGGATGGGACATATTTCAGGTAAACCATTGGCCATGTTTCATTTCCTGTGTTACGTTCATTTGTTCTCTTAACTACCATCTGCTGAAAAGCTGTCCAGAACGGTCAGTAACAGCCACACAGATGAATGCGCTGATACACTCAGTGCTTCAAAAAACACTTCTACTAGCACCAGTTTTAGTTTCAACATCTTCAAGCCAACTTCATTTTCATGCCAGACCGCTGAATTCACCTGGAGTTAACTATAAAGCCAAGGGACCTGGGAGGCATTCTTCCATGGAGTTCCCATTTTATCATGGAAACATAACGAGAAAAACCTGTGAAGACTTACTGAGCAAGAAAGGCAAGAATGGCAGCTTTTTATTACGAGAGAGCGAGAGCATGGAAGGAGCCTTATGTCTTTGTGTTTTGTAAGTATTGTACTTTACAACATTTATTAATTTTAAGACTATCACAAGGGAAAGCTATTACATCCTTTAAGGTGAATAAATAGCAAATGTGAAAGTGATCTCGCAGGACAGAAATGTAAATAAGCTGCACATCCCTAGTTACTGTACAATATACTTTGTAGAGGAAAGCTGCATGCATTACTTATGGAATAGGAGAGAGTGGAGGCTCTGGGCATAAGCGGGTACCTACATCTGGCAGGAGGAAGGTGGCATAGTTTGGAATCCCTGAAATTAAAAAGTTTGGAAGGGTGGCACAGTTTGCTCCGCATACTGTCATCAACGGTCAAATCCTATATCAAGCCTTTACGGAGGGCGGGTGCGAATGGTGCGAAAGCACCCCTCCGTGGTCCCCAAGTAAGCATGCACCAGCTGGCCAGGGGAAGGCAGGAGTGGTGTGCTATCCAAGCCTCCCTTCCCCATGCTCTGGCTGTCCGGGGGAAGACTGGGGATGATTTCCCCACTTGCTTGGGGAACCGCTGGGGGTTCATTCACACACTTGCGGTCCACATTTACAAAAAAAAAGCACACACCCAGAAATTCCTGAGTATGGGTCTGCATATGCATCTCTACCTGCAATCAAGCTAAATCAGATACCCTCTAGGTTAAAGTGTCTGGCTCATTATTCACCTAGAATTCCCATGGGCAGCACTAGTTTTGGCATTCTGGTCAGGTATGGACAGCCCATGTTCAAGCTTGTGCTGCCACAGCTTCATTGTTCCAGGACCGGAGCTAGCTAAATGAAAGCTAGCTTGGGTAACTCCGCTCTGTCTGCAGTCACACCCAGTGATTGCGCTACAGACACACTCTTAGCTGTGCTGTTTCTGCAGGGGTACAATAAAAAGCTTACTTTGTCTAAGCTAAGCAAATCCATACCCTAAAAAACGAAATGAACAGATCTTTCATGTCAAGGCAGTTCTATTTGCACACAGTCATGTTCAACCACACTTTTTTAAAACGTGGCTTGAAGTAACCACATAAGACACACTGACGTCTGTTTCCAGGGTATGATAGCTCTACATTGATAAATAAGAATCTCAAAACACTGTGAATGTTGCCTTCCTAAAATATAAGTTAGGGTTGCCACATAATTTAATCAAAATAATGATAATTAATCACAAGTATTTAAAAAGTGTGATTAATCAGTGTTAAACAATAAATACCATTTATTTATTTATTTTTGTTTTCTACATTTCCAAATATATAGATTTCAGTTATAACACAGAAAATAAATTGTACTGTTTTAACATGATATTATTTTTACTATAAATATTTGCCCCATAAAAATAAATATTTTTCAATTAACCTCATAGAACTACTGTAGTTAATCTCTTTATCATGAAAGTGAAATTTACACATGTAGAATTTTTATATACATATATATAATTGCTGTCAGAAAGAAAATAATCTAAAATTTTGGAGTCTCTCACTTGGTCCTAATTCTCGTTCTGCTGATCGCTAAGATCAACAAATTTGTTTACATTAACAGGAGATAACGTTGCCCACTTTTTATTTACAGTGTCATCTGAAAGCAAAAATAAGTGTTTATACGGCACTGTTGTAGCCAGCATTGCACGGTATTTACTTGCCAGATATGGCAAACATTTGTAGTTCCTTTCATGCTTCATCCACCATTCCAGAGGACATGCTTCCATGTTGATTTTGCTTATTTAAACAAAGTGTTAATTAAATTTGTTACTGAACTTGAGAGAAGAATTATGTTTCTTGCTCCGTGGTTTTGCCCACATTCTGCCATATGATTTGTGTACAGCAGTCTAGGATGTTGACCCAGCATATGTTTTCGGATTTAAGAACACTTTAATTGACGATTTGACAAATTGCAAAGAAGGAACCAATATGAGATTTCTGAAGATAGTTACAGCACTCAACACAGTGTTTAAGAATCTGAAGTGCATTCCAAAATCTGAGAGGGTTGAGGTGTGAAGCTTGTTTTCAGAAGTCTTAGAAGAGCAACACTCTAATTCAGAAACTATAGAACCCAAACGACCAAGAAAGAAAGAATCTTCTGTTGGCGGCATCTGACTCAGAAGATGGAATTGAACATGCATGTTATTGAACAGAACTTGTCATCAGCATGGAACCAAATTATCTGGAATGGTGGTCAACCCATGAAAGGGCACATGAATGTTTAGCATATGTGACATGTAAATACTTTCCAATGCCAGCTATAAAAGACACATTTGAATGTCTGTACACATTTAGGAGACATTTATAAATAAGAAGAGTGCTGTGTTATCTCCAGTAAATATAAACAAACTTGTTTGTCTTAGGAATTGGCTAAATAAGGACGGTTTTGTTTTTGAGTGTAGTTATGTAACAAAAATTCTTCATTTGTAAGCTGCACTTTCACAGTGCTTTTCTTTTAGTTATCTTTTTACAGTGCTGATAATTGTATGAAAAAATATAAAGTGAGTACTTTATACTTTGTATTAGAACATAAGAACAGCCGTACTGGGTCAGACCAAAGGTCCATGTAGCCCAGTACCCTGTCTGCCGACAGTGGCCAGCAGCAGGTGCCCCAGAGAGGGTGGACCGAATACAATGATCAAGTGATTTGTCTCCTGCCATCCCTCTCCAGCCTCTGACAAACAGAGGCCAAGGACACCATTTCTATCCCCTGGCTAATAGCCTTTTATGGACCTAACCACCATGAAATTATCTAGCTTCTCTTTAAACTCTATTATAGTTCTAGCCTTCACAGCCTCCTCTGGCAAGGAGTTCGACAGGTTGACTACATGCTGTGTGAAGAAGAACTTTCTTTTATTAGTTTTAAACCTGCTCCCCATTAATTTCATTTGGTGTCCTCTAGTTCTTCTATTATGGGAACTAATAAATAACTTTTCTTTATCGGCCCTCTCCACACCACTCATGATTTTATAGACCCCTATCATATCTCCCCTCAGTCTCCTCTTTTCTAAACTGAAAAGTCCCAGTCGCTTTAACCTCTCCTCATATGGGACCCGTTCCAAACCCCTAATCATTTTAGTTGCCCTTTTCTGAACCCTTTCCAAGGCCAAAATATATTTTTTGAGGTGAGGAGACCACATCTGTACACAGTATTCAAGATGTGGGCGTACCATAGTTTTATACAGGGGCAGTAAGATGTTCTGGGTCTTATTTTCTATCCCTTTCCTAATAATTCCTAGCATCCTATTTGCCCTTTTGACCGCCGCTGCACACTGCATGGAAGTTCTCAGAGAACTGTCCATGATAACTCCAAGATCTCTTTCCTGATTTGTCGTAGCCAAATTAGCCCCCATCATACTGTACGTATAGTTGGGGTTATTTTTCCCGATGTGCATTACTTTACATTTATCCACATTAAATTTCATTTGCCATTTTGTTGCCCAATCACTCAGTTTGGTGAGATCTTGGAGTCCCTCACAGTCTGCTTCTGTCTTGACTATCCTAAACAGTTTTGTATCATCTGCAAACTTTACCCCCTCACTGCTTACCCCTTTCTCCAGATCATTTATAAATAAGTTGAAAAGGATTAGTCCCAGGACTGACCCTTGGGGGACACCACTAGTTACCCCTCTCCAATCTGAAAATTTACCATTTATTCCTACCCTTTGTTTCCTGTCTTTTAACCAGTTCTCAATCCGAGAAAGGACCTTCCCTCTTATCCCATGGCCATGTAATTTACACAAGAGCCTTTGGTGAGGGACCTTGTCAAAGGCTTTCTGAAAATCCAAGTATACTATATCTACTGGATCCCCCTTGTCCGCATGTTTGTTAACCCCTTCAAAGAACTCTAATAGATTAGTAATACAGGATTTCCCTTTACAGAAACCATGTTGACTTTTGTCCAACAAATTATGTTCTTCTACATGCTTCTATGTTGTAACTGAAATTAATATATTTGAAAACATAGAACAACGTCCATAAATAGTTATAATTTTAATTGGTATTTTATTATTAACTGTACATTTAAAATTATGTTTAATTTATAGTAATTTTTAATCAAATTAATTTGTTTTGATGTAATTTCTTGAGTTAACTGTGACTAATTGACAGTGCTAAAATAAATAAATTATAAAAGTGAATGTGTGCCAAAATTTGAGTCTTTCATGGTAGTGCCTGAAGAAAAGTAATGATAAATACACACAATATACTTCTGGTGCCCTTTAGAAAAAAGTAAATTGACACCTTTTTCTGTTTTAAGAAATTGAGCTGCAGAGTTAGTTTTGGATTATCAAACTTCTCTAATTAAATGGCTAAGCATTTTCTAAAATAGCTGTTTGTACAAGTGACCTACTTTGCACTTTAAATGAGATTTAAATAGAATGTAATTTCTGACAGCAAAAATGTAATGACAGACATTTCCTGAGATTGGATTTTAGTTGTTTATTATTTTAGCTTGGTTTACATTTAAAAAAAAAACTCCCACCAAAATGTTTAGATGCAGAGCTATATTGTCTATGTTGATTTAAAAAAACTTATGAAAGGGTATCTCTTCACAGCTTTGAAAAGTTCATCTACACTTATCGAATCTACAGAGAACACGAAGGTTACCTTAGGATTCAGGTAAGAAAATACCATTTCACCTGCCAAAGAAAATATTGTTTAATGTCATTCTCTAATTTTAAAAAATCATATACATAAAATCTCACCTTCGTAAGGTATTTTCACACCTGCATTCTTCTAACGCACTCTTTACAGAACTTTCTGTCATTACCCATTTGTTTGGAAGTAACACAATATTACAATCACCACAGCAGTCTTTTTGTATCTGGTCGTTTATTGCCTGTCTTCCCCATAGCTACTGATTTGACCACATCTTTCTGACAACATGAAATCTCTCTCTGGCATATCTACTTTCATATTTCTTCATCCTTTGGTGAAATGGAAGAGCATTCCACCAGAAAAGACCATGCTGTTCCCCATCTAAAAACAAGCACAGCTTTTTGAGCTTCTTAATATTAACGGCGCTTGAATTTTGGAATTAGTCCTTTCCTTTTAGAAAGATCTGTTTATAATATTTTGTTTGACTGTAATACTGAAAAATGCTCTGGAGCATTACTGATTCGGGATGGATCCAAGTCAGCAATTTAGAGGTGAAAGGTTCTGAATCCTATTATTAGGGTCCTACCAAATTCATGGACCATTATGGTCAATTTCATTGTCGCAGGATTTTAAAAATTGTAAATGTCATGATTTCTGTTATTTAAATCTGAAATTTTCCGGTGTTATTATACAGGCTCCTGACTCAAAATGGAGTTGTGAAGAACTTGCAAGACTATTGTAATAGCGGTTGTGATAATGATACCGGTATTTCAAAGCTGGGCAGTCCCAGCTTTGAAGGCAAAGCTGCCACAAGCAGCAGCACAGAAGTAAGGATGACATAGTATGGTATTGCTGTCCTTACTTCTGCCCTGCTGCTTGTGGCAGCTTTGCCTTCAGTGCTAGGATCCTGCCTGGCAGCTGCCACTCTTTACTGCCCAGCTTTGAAATACCGGTATCTGCGCCCTCAATCAGTAGCCTCCGTTCACCCAGCTCTGAAAGCGGTAATGCAGAAGGGTGACATGGTATGGGACTGCCACCCTTATTTCTTCACTGCTGATGGCCAAGGGAGGAATTTCAGGAGGGTGGAGGAGGCAGCAGCTGTGCACTCCGGGACACTGCTAGCTTTTCATTCCGCTCCCTGGACACTAAGGGAGTGTGGGGAAAGTACTTGCATTCTGTGCCTGCCTCTCATGCCTGGCTGGTTAGCTCCCTTCATCCGCCAGGTACGAGGGGCGGGCACGGAATGCAACTATTTTCACCTCACTCCCTTAGCGTCCAGGAAATGGAATGAAAAGCTAGCGGTGTCCTGGAATACACAGCTGCCCCACCCCCCTTTGCTCCTCCTGAAATTCTGCCTTTGCTGCTGGAGTGCACTGCCTTCAAAGCTGGATGCTCAGCCAACAGCACACAGAAGAATGGGTGGCACTACTGTGACCCCCACCCAAAATAGTCTTGTAGCCTCCTTGCAGCTGCCTTTTGGGACTGGCCTCCCAATTTGAGAAATGCTGGAAATCTGTATGGTATATTGTTAAAGTTTACAAAAGACCAGATTTCACCGTCTGTGATGCATTTTGTTAATGGCTGTGAATTTGGTAAAGTGCTGCCTATTATTATGATTGGCTGACAAAACTTAAAATTTTAGTTGTCAGTCTTGCTTTCTTGAATCACAGTTGCTTCCTATTCGTCAGAGGGTCTTCTTTCACTGAATATTAGTTGAAATATGGTTTTGTATTTTTTTCCAACACAAACTGTTTTCCAGGCTTCTGCAACAAGCACAAATGAAAGCAATTCTCAGGCTATTTGAGAGGCTTTCCAAGCAGGGGCATTCTTCATCATCGACAACCATGGGTTCAACGCCCGTTGGTGTCCGATGCATCCCTCAATATTTCCTTCCATCTTTCTCTGGCCAGTGCGAAGCGGCTTAGTTTCTGTAGACTAGCTCCACACCAATCTACTATATCATCTACCCATTCTCTGCCTGTCTATTCAGACCATCCATTATGCCGAATACCAAGGTCTTAACTTTTCGATTGTCGTTCATACCGCAGATATGCCCAAATAGCTGTAACTTCCGTTGTCTAACCTTCTGCAATAGATTCTCTTTTAGTTGTATCTTCCTATATAATTTTAGCTGTATCTTCCTTGTTGGTGTCCTTCTGCATCCATCCTAGTCTCAGGATCTTTCTATAACAACTCCTCTCGAATGCTAATATCCTTCTCTTTTAATCTTTCATTATCACCCACGTCTCACATCCGTGCAACATGCTACTGAATACACACGTTTTCAAGATGCTCAGCTTCGTTCCTAAGCTAATCGCTTTACTTTTCCAGATCTTATCCATCGCCTTCAAACTCACTCTTGCTTTTGCTATTCTAGTTGCTATTTCCTTCTTACAGTCTAGATCATACATCATGTTGCTCCCCAAATAAGTGAATTTCTCTGTGTTCTCTAGTTTGATCCCATCTATACTGATCTTCCTTTCTACTTCCTTATCTCCAAATACTATTGTCTTTGTTTTATTGATATTCATAATCACTCCACACCGCTTCCCTTCCTCATTTAGCACCTGTACCCTTCTCGCTAGCTTCTCTTCATCTTCCTCGATGATAACTATATCATCCGCAAACATCAAATTAATTCTGCTTAATTTTATTTTATTTTATTTCTCTGCAGCACAGAGTATAGTCTGCTTGCTAGGAACATCTGGGGATAGTTCACCAAACTAATTCCCTGGCATTCCAGGGGCATCAGATACTGGTAGTGGGTATTTGACTAGAATTTGGTGGTCTGTGTTTAATCATTTAGAAAAAGCTTCTGTGCGGGTGCGGGGTATACAGAATTTTTTTTTACTCCGCAGGTGGGTGAGCTCTCCATCGCCTCTTCCTGTGGCTGCGCAGCCTCCAGCCTCTGGGCGGGAGAGGGCTCACCCCCCAGTTCCTGCACAGCTGCAGGAAGGGGCAGGGGAGCAGTCCCTTGCCCGGAGGTTGGTAGGACCTGCTCCCCCACCCCATCCTCCGGCTGCGGAGGAACCTGTGGGATGAGTGCTCCCCAGCCCGGAGGCTAGAGGCTGGTGGCTGCGCTGGAACCTAGGGCAGTGAATGGCTAACCCCCCCACCGCACCGTAAATATACCCCCAGCAAATATACCCCCAGCATAGAAAAGTCTTGTATACCCCCTGGGTTATATTCGTCCACGGGGTATACAAGATTTTTTTACTCAAATAGAAAAAACTGTGGGGTATATTTGGGTGTGGGGTATATTTGCTAAATTATGGTACTTTTTTTAAAGTATCCCTTTTAAGCAGGAGCGGCCCGAGGCCGGCTGCAGCAGCATTGACGCTCCTGCCTGCACGGCCGTCAATGGCCATGACATCATCATTGGGCGCCCGTGCCAGTGGCGCCCTAGGCAGCTGCCTAGCTTGCCTAGGCTCAAAGGCTGCTCCTGCTTTTAAGCCAATCTCCTGATTTTTGGAATGCTTGGAGTTGGCAGTACTGCATACCTTCTTTTGGAAGGGGATAACATCCAAGTCTTATCTTTCCCCGGTGCAAGTCTTGAAAGCCTCAATCACAGCAACCTAGGTCAATAAGAGGTATGACCACCTCCTGAGTGTGTCAGGGTATGTCTACACTGCAGTGTTTTTCCGGAATAATGGGCGTTATTCCGGAAAAACAATTCTTGTGTCCACACTGCTATTGTGTTCTTTTGACAAAAAGTCGAAAGAACAGAGGGGGTTTTCCGACGGCGGTAAACCTCTTCCTATGAGGAAGAAGCCTTTTTTCCAAAAAAGCTTTTTCAGAAAAAGCTGTGAGTAGATGCAGAAGAGGGAGTTCTGTTGAAAAAAGAGGCCTCCAGGAAATAACACAGGTGCCCTGCTGGTCACTCCGTCCAAACGCATCACAACTCTGTAGTTCCTGTCTCCTGCCAGCTCTTAAAGCCATAGGCACCCGGGACAAGCCTTGTGGGAAGAAGCTGACCCTGGGAGCTGCACCTCACTGTGTGGCTGACATTGCCATGCTTACCTGGACCCATGGCCCAGCCTCAAGCTCCCTGAGAGCCCACTGGCCCTACACAGGGCCCCCAGGACTCAGACAGTGGCACAAAAAGGCGTGTGCCATTCTGGTCTGGGGCGGAGATCCTGTCCCTCCTAGACATCTGAGGCGAAGAGAAAATCCTGCAGGATCTCTGCTCCAGGTACAGGAACACCAACATATACGTCCAGATGGCCGAGGGGCCACCACCCCAGGAGCCTCGAGCAAGTAAAGAGCAAGTTAAAGAGCTCTGACAGAGATATGCTAGGGCAAGGGAGCGCAGCTCTCGCTCAGGAGCGGCCTGAGGCCGGTTGCAGCAGCTAGGCGCGATCGGCATCCCCACCTGCACGGCCGTCAATGGCCGTGACGTAATCACGGGGCACCCCGCTCTCACTCCAGGGCAGGACCCCACTCCTGCTCCTACTACACTGAGCTCCACCACATCCTGGGGGCCGGGACAGCCCCTTCCCCACCCATAGTCGTGGACTCGAGGCTGGAGATGCCCATTGTTGCCCACCTGGGGCTCTCAGGCCAAGAGGAGGAAGAGGAGGATGACAAGCTGGAGGAGGAGAAGGAAACAGCCAGCACCATCACCCTAACCCTGGAACTGGTACCCCAGGGCCTGGATGTCTCCCAGTCATCCTCCAAACCAAGGAGGGATCAGCAGGTGAGCGCTCTTAGTTTTTCACGCACACAGGGTGGGGGAGGTGGCTGAGGGGCTAGGGGGCAGTCGTCACTCGGCCTTCTCAGCCTGGCCCTTGTGCTGCAGTCCATGCATGTGGAAGCACGTGCAGCACCAATCTGCACCACGCAGCACCAGGAGGCAGCTCCAGAGCACCCCCAGACTCCTGTTCACAGGCTCTGGGGAGGCCACACACGTCTGCCCCCTGGGAGGGATGCCCTTCCACCACTAGCCACCACTGGAAGCAGGCTGGGGACAAGGGCACACATGGCTGTGCACAGACCGAGGAGTGCCGCACACAGCACACAGGCATGCCTGCATGCTCGAGGCACTACCTGCACCTGCAGGTGTGTGTGTGGCCCCCATGGAAGGCCAGGCTGCTCTCGACCTCTCTCCTGCCCTGAGATCCCAGTGTGGCTGTACACTTCCCTTGCCTGCTTGTCCGTGGGACAGGGTGGGAGGGGTGGGAAGCATGGTCCCCTGAGCACCTCAGGGCTCCTGTGAGGCAGGGCCTGCTGTCCAGGCCACACGTGGTCTTGCTCCTGGGACATCCCCTTCCTCAGGCCCGAAGACTGTTGCTTGCAGCTCACAGAGGAGGGCAAGGGCTCAGGGAATGTGTCTGCATGGATGACTGACCACATCTCCCTCTCTATTCTCCACAGCCGGACCAGCCATCACTGAGGGGCGATCACTGCCAGCAAAGCCAGTCCCTCGACCCCAGGGGAGCCGCAGGTGTCGGAGGATCCAAGAGGACCTAATGAGGGAGCATGTGGCCATCCTCTGGGACATGCAACAGACACCAGACCAGAAGGTCCGGCAGAATGCTCAATGGTGGACCCAAATGTGGGCTGAGTTGGTGCAGCAGGGCCAAGACATGTGTTCCACCGTATGGAAGATGATGGAACACCCGGCTCCTCTCCCTGCTCCTGCCCCTGACGGGCCCCCCCCCCCCCGCCA